ATATATACACATATACACACACACACACATATATACACATATACACACACACACATATATACCCACACACATGTATATACATATATACACACACATATATATACATATATACACACACATATATATACACATATATACACATATATATACATACATACATACATACATACACACAGGGTGTGATTTGTAGGAGGGGATGGGGGGGATTTCCCTCTTCTGGTCTATGAATCCCTGCCCCTGCTGAATTATTTTTATCCCCGGATAAAAAAAATTCCCCTGGGTGATGCTACAACACCAACCACCAAAAGAGCATATAAAATGCAAGTAAAAAAACTGCACCATGACAATACAAACAACAATAAAATCAGAAATGGACTTCAACTGTCAGCGCTCCCGCTTAATAGAGACCGTGTGTTCACACGCCTCAATCAATGCAGGGCTTTTCAGAAAGTCAGTCTATTTCAGACTGAGTGACAGTTTGAGATTAATACACAATGTTTTTTGCTCAAAATTCAATCTACTGTGACCTAATGCAGATAATGTATATAATAAACCGACACATAAATGTATTATGAGACAGAACGTAGAAGTTTACCGTCACCATAATGTGGGAATTATGATCACGCAATATTGACTGATGGAGTGGCAGAGAATCGTCTTTCTGCGAGTCATTAAGTAATTCTGGTTCTGTAGTCTGTTTAAAGAAATGTGAGGTAATCGTGTGAATACATAATGTGCGCACTTTTGAAGTAAAAGTTTGTATGTTGTGTAGCGAAGCACTGATCAAAATTAAATGGAAGCAAACGAATATGTACAGGTTTGTGTCTCGTTATCCTATTCAAAATAGAATATCATTAACTCCCGACTGATTTTGCATTCCTGGCAGAAATAAGAACTATTAGTGTCATTGTAACCAAGTGTTATCATAAATAGTGGTCAGATATCGAAGCCATCTAATCTCAAGGTTAAATCATATTTATTGTAAAAATGTTTGTTACTGCTGCCCAAAAAAATTTTATATAGATTATATATATTTTATATATCTATAGCTCCACTGTGATTTGTGATATATTTTCAAGGAAAATAAAAATCAAAACGTCAAAACATCCCCCCCTCTGGCTTGTTCACAAATTGTATGTATGTATGTATGTATTCATGTATGCATGTATGCATGTATGTATGCATGTGTTCTAGTTGGCAGGGTTAAAATGCCCATCGTTGAAGAAACACCCAGTTATTTGTGCACACTGCCTCAGACTCAGTAATTATTTGCTTCTATGGCAACACTTACAACATCAAAATAGACCTATGATGACCTTGAAATATTAAGAAAAGTGCACCAGGTAGCATCAGCTACAGTAAAAATGGCATATGAAACACAAATGTGTTCCTCCTTACTACTTATAACTGTTGAGGCTGTGGCCATTTTGACTCTTTATATATTACGTCACAAGACTGAGGTTTCATAATTGTGAGTTTCCAACTAACTAGTAGCTATATATATATGTGTGTGTGTGTGTATGTGTGCATGTATGTAATAGTTGCTTAAAAAAAAAAACACCTCAAACTTTCAAATTGTACAGTATATTATTTTCTCACCCTGCCCTAATGACAGCATGTGTGTGTGTGTGTATTTTAGGCCTGGACTGCTCAATAACTGTACCAGCAAATGTTTCCTTCTGGACACGTGAGGAATACAACGGGCATGGCTTGGTGCGGGCGTCCCATAAGGCTGTGGTTCATGAAGACGTGATGTGGGTGATAGGTGGACATATGTTTAACTACACACACTACCAGATGGTGACTGCGTGAGTACACACACACATACTTAACCAAAACGCACTGGAGCATAATAACATTACAGGCTCACAGCTTTACTTTCTCCTTTACTCTTTTTGTCTATTCCTCAGGTTCAACATCTCCTCTCAAAGCTGGATGTCTTTAAACCGGTCCGTCAACTCTGTAACTGGACGCTACGGTCATTCTCTCTCCCTGCATGAGGTTTGTCAATCGATGACAGGTTGTTTAATAGTGTTCATCAACTCAAATGTCTTTATTACAGTCTGATGTATTTATTCCCTACATACACTGAACTGAGACCTGTTTCTCTAAAACTTGTGATTTCATAAGTAATTTGTCTTTGTGTGCATGCGTACAGGATAAAATCTATATGTACGGTGGGAAGATTGACTCCACAGGAAACGTGACATCAGAACTCTGGGTGTTCCACACATGGAACCAGTCGTGGGTTCTGCTGAATCCACGTGCTAAAGAACAGTATGCCGTCGTGGGCCATTCTGCACACACTGTCCAGCTCCATCCCGACAGATCAGAGCCCGTCATACTGGTCATCTTCGGACACTGCCCTCTTTACGGATACATCAGCCAAGTGCAGCAGTACAACATTGGTGAGTAGCGCACAGTAGTGTCAAATGCTCAACAGCTGGCCGATACCTTGAATATTATCGCCATAATTTTACTGACGTTATAATATTAGGGAATAGTGTGAATATTGCAATAACATTAAAAGTTTAACTTAGTTAAACCAATTTCACCCTTATGAAATATGACAGCGTCAAAGGGATTGTTTGGCTGCTTTCAAAAATTGACAGCTGTATTTAAATGTGGGATTGAATCTGAAAATGTGATGATTGACAGTGATAACAAACCATAGCTACAGATGGGACAAAAAAATATCATACTGTATATCAAAATAAATATTTGATTTAATTACTCTTCTCCGGTCATATACATGGCTGCTACACCACATGTTTTTCTTTTCAGCATCTTGCGTCATGCACAATATGTTATTTTTAAATGTCATTTTTAAAAACAAAAAAAGCATCTTTTAAAAGCAGGCCTCAGGACACCTGTGTACTGTTCCATTCAGCCTAGCTGTTTGAAAGGAAGAATTCATCCTATGTGAAAGCACCCTAATCCTTTTCAGAATATTGAGTGCCATCACTGACTGAAAGTCACAGTGAACAGTTGTGACCCAGTTTCTGTCTGATGAATCAGACCTCTAGGTACCGCAGAGACTTGTCATTCATCACAAAATTAAAATGAGGCCCTTTTTGATATTAGTTTTCAATTGTGTAAAATGTTTTGCAGTTGGAAAAAAAAAAGTGCAGTTGTTTTCATGATTGATTGTTGCTGTCATTTGTGATGGAGAGAGAGAGGAGACTGGGGCTGGTTTTCACTTTGATTTCTGGATGCCAGTGTGGTTTGAAATCAGCATACAAAACCCCTGCTAGGGAAAACAAGCATTTACTCAATTAGACTCTTGTCTCAAAACCTTAATGTAGTTCTTCCTCATGTGGCAATTATCCCTGTTCTGGTCTGTTTGCAGGAATTGTTTACTCTACTGCCCTCTAGCGTTGTAATGGAAGAGCAAAATCAAAAATATGTGTAACTATTTTTTTTTTTAGAAGGACTAGTTGTGTTTCTTTCTTCACTATCTCTCATCCTGTACTTTTCACTCTTCCCTTTGCAGTAAAGAACACATGGAGTGTTTTAGAGACTCGTGGGGCGCTGGTTCAGGGTGGCTATGGGCACAGCAGTGTGTATGATCCTCAAACCCGCTCCATCTACATCCATGGAGGCTATAAAGCTTTCAGTGCCAATAAATACGGCCTGGCCGGGGACTTGTACCGCTATGATGTGGACAAGAGAATGTGGTGCGTTGAGCAGCATTACACAATTTAATTTAATACTGATTACTTTTTGACTTCATAATTTTAAGGCTAGGCTTAAAATGGAGAGCCTGCTTAGTTAGCTTTTTTTAATCCAATATTGTGTAAAAAAAAAAAAAACACTACAACAGTAGTACTTGTTATGCTAGCATGCTGCTATGAACATAGTCTTTTTTTGCTTTCTCTGGGTTTCCTGCTAATGATGTCTCTGATTAATCTGTAGGTTGATTCTGAGGGACAGTGGTTTTTTCCGTTACCTCCACACGGCGGTGATTGTTGGCGGGAACATGTTGGTGTTTGGAGGGAACACGCACAACGACACCTCAATGAGCCATGGGGCGAAATGCTTCTCCTCAGACTTCATAACATACAGCATAGGTGAGTACCAGACACCGTCTTTGTCACCTGAATGTTCAAACCACATGTACTCCGTACATCTGTGTATGACTGGGCGGCCTAACTATATATACAATAATGTGACTTATCCATTCAAAATTAGGAGGTTGTACTCTCGAGTCTTATTTTTTGAAGATAATGTGACTGTAAAGACCTATTCACAGCAACACATTTGTTTGTCCGATTTTCGCATGCGATTTGTCTGTTCAGATTATTGTGTAAAAAAAACACAAAAAAACCCAGCAGGTGAGTTCAATAAAAAAAATGCAGATTCAATTTCTTACAATAGATGGCGCTTATAGAAAAGCAGAAACAGCCATTCAGATTTTGTATTTCCAGCACCAATTATAAGAGTGCAGAGACCAGAGAGCCAATTCTGGATTTTACCTCTGCCTAGGTAAAATCCAGATCAGCTGCTGGTACATAAAATTTGCTGCCGCTCATGAATAATCTATAATGCTAAACAATAGTGAAGAGCAATTAATTATATGGCCCAACGTCTTAGCATGAACAGGCCTTTTAAACCTATTCGTTTGTAATACTTTTTTATTGCTTCCAACAAGTTTTTAAAATCGGACGTAAAGAATGTAATTCACTTTCCAGCAAAATAACTGTATTGAATGGTTATGTAGTGAGATTTTTCTTAAACTGTCATTCGCCTACCTTTAAGAACATTTTACATTCTAATTCGCTCACTTACTGCATCCTCTCTCGTATGGCATCATATGTATATAATATCTGTCTTTCACAATATTGAACAGCAGAAGAGACACTCACACAGAAACCATAATTGAATTTCTGTGCGTGTAGCAGCAAGCCATTAGAGACCGAAATACACTCATCAGGGGGGCTTCTTGCAGAAGGATGCGTGATCTTGAAGCCATTATTTTATGAGTGACACATTTGAGTTTTGTAATCTCCAGGGATTGGAGACATGCCTGTCTGGTGCTATTATCTCGCTTTTAATTTAGATAATGAGGGATGCTATGAGTATGATGTCAGAATAGATGCACTACGAGCACTTGAATACGGCGGCTCTTGAATGTGAGAATATGATGCATGGGTTGAAATTCCGAGCGGCTTTGAGGAGTTTGTATTGCCTGTATAATACACAGGAAGCTGCAAACTTATCAGAAGTGTCTGCGTTTGCTTATTCATCATTATAATTTCTTCCTCTTGTTCTTCCCTTGCCAACTTCTCTTTTGAGTTTCAGGCTAGCACTGTGGTAATCTGTAATTAAGTAGAGGCCTTTCTCGACCCTGAGGGTAATTGCTCTGTCCTTACGAGCTGAACTCAATTATACTGGCCCACACCAGGATGCTGATTTCGATTGGTCAGAAAGTTTGCCAGCAGGGGGCAGTGACTTGTCACACATACTGTACTGCACTAATAGCTATAATTTCTCTTCATGCTTCTCTTACTCCTGTTAGATTAGCCACTAACTCCTTCTATTTAACATCTAAAGAAAGAGATGATTCAATATTAAAGGAATAGTTCACCCAAAAATGAAAATTTGATGTTTATCTACTTACCCCCAGGGCATCCAAGATGTAGGTGACTTTTTCTTCAGTAGAACACATATGATGATTTTTAACTCCAGCCGTTGCAGTCTATCAGTCGTATAATGCATGGCAATGGTAACAAAATCTATGAGAGTAAAAAAAAAAACATGCACAGACAAATCCAAATTAAACCCTGTGGCTCGTGACGACACATTGATGTCCTAAGACACGAAACGATCGGTTTGTGCCAGAAACCGAACAGTATTTATATAATTTTTTACCTCATAGTAGTGTATTAGAGGTAAAATATGATATACAGTGGGTACGGAAAGTATTCAGACCCCCTTAAATTTTTCACTCTTTGTTATATTGCAGCCATTTGCTAAAATCATTTAAGTTAATTTTTTTTCCTCATTAATGTACACACAGCACCCCATATTGACAGAAAAACACAGAATCGTTGACATTTTTGCAGATTTATTAAAAAAGAAAAACTGAAATATCACATGGTCCTAAGTATTCAGACCCTTTGCTCAGTATTTAGTAGAAGCACCCTTTTGATCTAATACAGCCATGAGTCTTTTTGGGAAAGATGCAACAAGTTTTTCACACCTGGATTTGGGGATCCTCTGCCATTCCTCCTTGCAGATCCTCTCCAGTTCTGTCAGGTTGGATGGTAAACGTTGGTGGACAGCCATTTTTAGGTCTCTCCAGAGATGCTCAATTGGGTTTAAGTCAGGGCTCTGGCTGGGCCATTCAAGAACAGTCACAGAGTTGTCGTGAAGCCACTCCTTCGTTATTTTAGCTCTGTGCTTAGGGTCATTGTCCTGTTGGAAGGTAAACCTTCCACCCAGTCTGAGGTTCTGAATGCTCTAGACTGGGTTTTCATTAAGGCTATCTCTGTATTTTGCTGCACTGAGCGTTTCTTCTACTCTAACGAGTCCCTCAGTCCCTGCTGCTGAAAAATAGCCCCACAGCATGAGGCTGCTACCAGCACACTTTACTTTGAGTGTCACAGCAAAGGGTCTGAATACTTAGGACCATGTGATATTTCAGTTTTTCTTTTTTAATAAATCTGCAAAAATGTCAACAATTCTGTGTTTTTCTGTCAATATGGGGTGCTGTGTGTACATTAATGAGGAAAAAAAATTAACTTAAATGATTTTAGCAAATGGCTGCAATATAACACAGAGTGAAAAATTTAAGGGGGTCTGAATACTTTCCGTACCCAATGTAAATACTGTTCGTTTCTGGCACAAACGATCGTTTCATGTCTTAGGACATCAATGTGTCGTCACGAGCCGCAGGGTTTATTTTGGATTTGTCTGTGCATGTTTTTTTTACTCTCATAGATTTTGTTACCATTGCCGTGCATTATACGACTGATAGACTGCAACGGTTAAAGTTAAAAATCATCATATGTGTTCTATTGAAGAAACAAAGTCACCTACATCTTGGATGCCCTGGGGGTAAGCAGATAAACGTCAAATTTTTGGGTGAACTATCCCTTTAAGGGTCAGCTCAGAAAATGCAAACAGCTCATCTTGCAAACCATGGCGAGAAAGATGCAGGGAACTGGGAACATTCTGTTTTATCCCATATTGCGTAGTATTACAATGTTATTTCGTTTTAGAGTACAAGTAAAGGTGCCTTATAGGCCCTGCACTTCTGCACAGGTCATCAATTTATGTGAAGGTTGGACTTACGGATATTAATTGGGTAATGTGAGTGGAGATTACTGAGCAACGATTAGTCTTCATTCATTAATATTCATGAGCTCTTCTCTGTAGTAATGTCTCTAAAACGTATTCGGGCAGCACTGGCTGAGATTCACTTTGTCTACCATTTTCTCTTTTCTAGCTTGTGATGAGTGGATTGTACTGCCCCATCCAGATCTTCACCATGACGTCAACCGTTTTGGCCACTCAGCTGTGTATCACAATGGGTAATCTCAATAATTTATATGTGCTCAGTATGTGAAAATATTCAGTCCCACTTATAGTACAGGATATCACATAACTAAAGAAACCATCATCTACCTAGAAACCAAACCAACTCCGATGCTAATAATTTGCACTGAATAATTCATTAAAGTGATTTAACAAAATAAGAGCATCATATTTTTGCTTTCAAACACTCCGGCAAACTTGCCATATAAACTGTAAACAGGCTGTTTGATTTGTTACAAACGGAGTCAAAATGATTTCCTGTTGTATTGAGTCCTGAATGTTCCTTTTTAAAAGTGTTTCTATTTCTGTGATATTTGAATATGAAGTCTATATTTAAATCTGCCTGTAATCTCCTTCCATACGGATTAGTCAAAAGCAGAATCATTATCCATAAATAACATGTCTCATTAGTGCTTCACATTGCCAGCTGAACAAACATGAGTCTTCTAACCGCACTTATCCACACAGTCACACACTCTCACAGAAGACTGTCTAGAAGACTCTTGTGAGATTTTGATGTGAGCTCACTGTGATCTGTATTCTTACCTATAATTCCCAGCGTCATTGTCAGTGCCGATATGACCACTGAGTGACCCCTCTGTGGGGAGCTGTGGCACAACACTTCTTTTGCTGTTTGACTTGTCAGTCTCACACGCTTTATTCATCATGCCTCCCAACTTCCTTTTCATGTTCTTCCTCATTCACACTGCCCTCTTCCTCCTCACCCTTCATACCTCTCCCCTCCCATCTCTCGTTCCTTCAGAGATACTCGAGGTTAATCTCCGTCTCTTTCTGTGCGTGTGTGTCAGGGTGATGCACGTGTATGGAGGCTTTAACAGCCTGATGCTCAGCGATGTGCTGAGGTTCACCCCTGCGAGCTGCGCTGCTTTCCCGGAGCAGCTGGAGTGTGTGACGGCTGTGCCCGGCGTGAAGTGTGTGTGGAACTCCACTACCTCCACCTGTATGTCCTGGGACGCAGCGGCACCCCATGACACAGAGAGCTTGAGAAACACCTGCAGTCCCAGAGGGGGTAAGTGACGGGAACAAAGAGGACGTCTGCTTTCTGTGTCTCATTTGAACTATTCAGACAGGATTAGATTTTAAAACAGTTTAAAAAAGTTCAAATTATTACCATGCATGGGGACTTCTGTCATTTTATTTGGCAATACAGATAGGATATTGTCTGGATTTTGCTGATTTTATATATTTTTATTAAAGAAATTAGTACTTTTATTCAGCAAGAACATATTAAATTGTTTAAAAGTGACAGTAAAGACATTTATAATGATATAAAAGATTTCTATTTCAAATAAATTCTGTTCTTTGTGAACTTTCTATTCATCAAAGAATAAAAAAAATCATAATTTGCACAAAAATGTCAGGTAGTACCAGTATTTTCAACATCATAATAAAGAAATGTTTCTTAAAGGGGTCCTATTATGCTCTTTTACAATGTCTTGATTTTGTTTTGGGGGTATACTAGAACAGGCTCTCATACTAGGTTGTTCGAAAAACACATTATTTTTCACAGATTTTAGATTATTACAAAACCTCTCTCCCCAGTCTGGCGTGAACGACTCGCATAGTTCCTGTATCAAATGAAGGTCCGCCTTAAAATATCTCCTTTTGAAGTGGACTTTGAGCTTTGTAACTTCGCAGATCTTTTTTTATGCTCAAACTGCAACATTACAGACTAACTAAAGTTGAAAAAGTGAAAAAGCATAATGGGACCCCTTTAAGCAGCAAATCAGCATGATTTCTGAAGAATCATGTGACACTGAAGACTGGAGTAATGATGCTGAAAATTCAGCTTTGCTATCACGGGAATAAATTACATTTGAAAATAGAAAACATTGGTTGTTTTGAGTTGTAATATTTCACACTATTACTGTTTTAATATTAATGTAGTTTTGATCAAATATGCAGCCTGTCTTTTGCCCGAGAAATCCCTTAGTTATAGTTATGAATTTATCACTAAGAGTGATGAATTATCACTGAGGGTTTTCTTAACTTAAAAGGGTTTATTGCACCCGGCTGCTGGCTCTCCTTATTGATGTGAAGTTTTTTATGCCTCATGGGATACTAGCAGGCAGTATTTATATTTATCCAGAATATTGCCAAAAAGGTCTAAATCCATGATGTACCAGGCAGTAAGAAGTTTTGCCCACACAGATAATGTTAGCTTTAGTTATTTGGCAAAAGAGGTGTTGTGAAAATACAATATCCACAAACACAAGCATTCTTAACTGAACAGGATTAGATTTCTTTGAGGATGATTTCTTTGAGGGCCAGAAATGATGGGTCATTTGCTCTATAGGTTTTTTTTACTGAAATTGTGATTCTCAATTTAATTCTAATCCAAATCAAAACTGTAAGAAGTAGGAAGAGCTAGTCCTGTCTGAATAGATGTTAATCTTAATGATCTGTCAGATGCAGTTGCTTACAACAGATTTATCTGTATGCTTAACTTTTGTTCCAGAGTATGGCATCACTGAATGCACAGTTACTGCCACAGGCGTTGTATGCAGTAATTTATGTGTGTGCTTTCCAGATGCAGATGGTGAAAAGTGTGACCAATATTCAGACTGCTACAGCTGCACAGCGAACACTAACAGCTGCCAGTGGTGCGCTGCGGTCTGTGTGTCTGGTCATAGTAACTGCACCAGTTCCCCGGTAAGACTCAACATTTAATACGCCATGACTTAAAGAAAAGTATGTGGAAGAACACAGTTCAGTTTATGAATTTGTAATACTGGGTCTTTGCTCTGACATGTCTAATCTGTCTGCCGGTCTGCAGGGTGGGATAATGGAGTATGAGGCATGTCCAAAGGATAACCCATCCTTTGTGTGCAGCAAGAAGACCAACTGTAAAAGTTGTGCCACAGATCAGAACTGCCAATGGGAGACGAGAAATCAAGAGTGCACTACCCTCCCTGGTAATGAACACAAACAGTGTGGTTTAACTGATCCTTTGACCTTCAAATCATATAGAAAGATCTTTGAAGTTCAAGAGCAAAGTCATATGTAAATAATGTGATAGTCCAGTGCAAAAACAATGTCAGAGCAACAAAGTATGAATAAAAGTATAGAATAAAATATCTAATATTATTGGGATAACATCACTCTTATTAATTTTGTGTTATTATTTTTTAAATTTAATTATTTATTATTTATTTTTGTTAAATGCCACCATTAATAATAATAATAATAATATCATGTTATTTAATTCGTTATTTTAAAAGCCTCTGTTTATCATTAGAATGTGTATTATATTATATTATATTGTATTATATTATATTAGTCTGTTTCAAAAACAATAGCAGAACATGATGATATAGACTGAAATGTATTATTGGGACAATATGGTGGGATAGTATCACTATTATTTATTTTAAATTATTTATTATTTTGTTAATTTAAAATCCTTCGTCCGTCATGATAATAATGAAAATATCACTATTATTATTATTTTGTTATTTCAAAGGCCTTCGTTCATCATTAAAACTCGATGTCACAATTGCCATGTTTGTCATATGTTAATCTGGATCCCTGATGATTGCGCCATGTTTGTGTTTTAGGGAATATCTGTGGGGAGAGTTGGCACCTGGTGGGGAACTCGTGTCTAAAGCTGATCACAGCCAAGGACTCGTATGACAACGCTAAACTGGCGTGTCGCAGTCACCAGGCGGTGCTGGCATCCCTCACCACGCAGAAGAAAGTCCAGTTCGTCCTCAAAGAGATGCATAACAGATCATTGCAAGTGAGATTGCTGCACATTTTCACAGTTTTTCTTCCTTATGACGTGGTTTTTTCATGACTTTATCACCTGGGGGGGTGTAAGGCACTAGTTTTTGTAAAGCTCTTCACACATTAAACTGAATTGAATATGACTTGTATTGTGTGCTGCAGTCAAAAGCAGTGATCACTCCGTGGGTGGGTCTGAGGAAGATCAATGTCTCCTACTGGTGCTGGGAGGACATGTCCCCCTTCACCAACTCCACGCTGCAGTGGCTGCCGGGTGAGCCCAGCGATGCTGGTTTTTGTGGGTACCTAGCTGAGCCCACTTTTAACGGACTAAAGGCGGCGACCTGCGTCAACTCTGTGAATGGGAGTCTGTGTGAAAGACCAAGTGAGAGATGCACATACTGTACACACACACAGCATTAACTAGTGCTCGCTTGTCTTATTAACAGAGAACTCGTGTCAGTGAATAATGTGCAAGTGTGCAGTTTCCTGTTTCAAAAATATTTTATTTGATAAATTCCTGTTTTTAAAATATGGTATTTTTTAATTTTTATGTTTTATATAATTTCCTTTTTAAAATTATTTTCTTATGTTTTTTAATATTTTATAAATAGTTTTTTTTTAAACAGGAAATTTTATAAAATTATAAAAAAAATATAATAGTAACAATAATAATAACAGCAACAACAATTCAAACACTGTTCCACGCCCCTTCCTCTTCAGGCCCCTCCCTCATTCCCGCCCCTCAGCCAATGTTAAACGTCAGCTTGTGCCCACTAGAGGGCAGCTACAACTGGTCCTTTATCCAGTGCCCAGGTAAAACTCATGTGACTTATACAAGTTGTTCTATACTGGTTGAGTTTGACAAGTATAAAAGGATAACAAAATGTCTCTTTGACGATAATATACTTAAAACGTGTCTAAAATTAAGCAACATTGTGAATATTGCAGTGCTTTTTTGGGTTATTCATAATATTTCTATTTAAAGAATCCTGAAAAAAAAATGCATCACATTTTCCACAAAAGTATTATACAGCACAAGTGTTTTCAACATTGATAATACTACAAAATGTTTCAGCATTTTAGAATAATTTCTAAAGGATCATGTGACATTGTAGAGTGGAGTAATGCCATCACAGGAATATAATACATTTTAAAATATTTTAAAATAGAAATATATTATTTTAAATTGGAATAATGTTTCACAGTATTACTGTTTTTACTGTATTTTTGATTAAATAAATGCAGCCTTTCATAAACATATATATTTTTTTATAGACCCACAAATTTTGAATGATATTGTACTTCTACTAAAAAATGTTGTTATTTAAGATAATATAAATGAAAATTATTAAATATAATTGGTTTAAAAAAAAAAAACTGGACTTAAACTGAAAACGTGCCTTGATCTTTTAATTCTTCATTTAAACATTGTGACTATTGTGAATGTTGAATAACCTTTTAAATCCATTTTAGAGATAATGTAATTATCACAATGTACAGTGAGTATAGAAAAGAATCACTCCCTTTAAAATATTCACATTTTGTTGCTTTTCAGCCTGAAATGAAGACGGACACAGTTTTGTTTTATCCAGCTGTATTTACTCAGTGCAACTTATAACATCCAAGTGAAAGATATAACACCAACATCAGAAAAACAAACAAACAAAAACACTAGAATGATTAGAGTTGGAAAAAGGATCACCCCTCCTAAAAATGACTTGTACACCCAATCAAGTGTAAAACAAAAACTGTGTCCGTCTTCATTTCAGGCTGCAAAGCAACAAAATGTGAATATTTTAAAGGGAGTGATTCTTTTCTATACCCACTGGAAATTGAAGCATTAAATAGCTGACAAAAACAACTTTTTAAACATAAATTGCTCTGGCGCTTTTTGTAGCTACTTTTATCTCCGTTTAACTTCAGATAATGTTGCCGTTTTATAATGTTGATCATGTTTTCTTCAGTTTTTCTGTTTGTTCCTCTCTCATGCAGCATGCCAGTGTAACGGACATAGCTCTTGTGTCAATGAGAGTGTGTGTGAGAGATGCGAGGACCTAACCACAGGCAAACAGTGTGAGAGCTGCATCTCCGGTTACTATGGCGATCCCACAAACGGGGGCAGCTGTCAGTGTAAGTCTAAACACAAGCCCTTGCCAAAATAAAGTTGGCTTTTGCTGGCAGTTTGATAGGGTCTTAACTGGATGTGTGTGTTGGTCATTTGCAGCTTGTAAGTGCAACGGCCATGCCAGCATGTGTAACTCTAACAATGGCAAATGCTTCTGTACCACCAAAGGCATCAAAGGAGACCGCTGCCATTTGTAAGTGTGCGCACACACACACTCGTTCTGCCTCAGTCTCATGAGGTTTTTTCCACTCTGCCATTATAAGTAATTTGTCAAATGTACGACGGATAGCTTATCGTTATCTTGTCTATATCAAACTCTATTCTTTATAATTCTACTCATTTTCACTCTCTGCTTTTGTTTCATTCTGTCCCTCAGGTGTGAGGTAGAGAACCGTTACCAGGGCAACCCTCTGAAGGGAACGTGTTATTGTGAGTATGTCAGTGCAGCGGCTGATGGCTGTTCACATTGTGGCTATTTGAGTAATTTAGTCATTTTCAGAACTACTCATTTTGTCCTTATCTGACTAAATCAGACAGAAACCACAAACCTGCACGTGTCAGTCAGTCTGTGAAAATGTCCAGATTTTTTTTCTCTCTGAGTAATATGTTCAATATTATCTTTTATCCTTTTCCTCTTTCTCACACACACAACTATTTCTTTATCTCTGACGCACAGACACTCTGCTGATAGATTACCAGTTTACCTTCAGTTTGTCTCAGGAGGATGACCGCTACTACACTGCCATCAACTTTGTGGCAACTCCAGATGAGGTGCGTTATGCTGAAAAGACTTCACTGTTCAGAAAGTACCTCTTTTTTTTTTTTTTCTTGTACAGTCATGGTCAACTAGGTGTCAATAAATCAAGGCTGACATCTTCCCTTGATTTGCAAACACAACAAACCAAATAGTGAACTAATTTGATTGACGTGCATTTGGACATCTGATGTTATTGTTATCAATAAAGTTTTTTTTTTCCACCATACATTTATTCAGCACTTCACTGTTGAACAGAGGAAACAATAGAGCATCGAGGGGGTTTATCAAGGGCACATTCTTACGTTAAAATTGAGCAGAAACACAATAGATCAGAAGCTTCTTGTCAGAAGGTTCCTCATGTACTTTGTGAGGTCCATCTTGAAATTTTGACACACACACACACACACACACACACACACACATATATGGGGTCAGTAAAATTTCTTTATGAAATTAATACTTTTATTCCACGAGAATGCATTATTTTGATCAGAAATGACAGTTAAGACAGATTATATGTAAAAAAAAATTAATCTTTTCTATTTATCAAATCATTTTTGGGGAAAAAGTACCACGGTTTCCACAAAAATATTAACAAAATATTAACATTAAAGACTAGAGTAAGTGCTGATGAAAATTCAGCTTTGCCATCACAGGAATAAATTATATAAATGTTTTAAATAGAAAATATAGTAAAAAAGAAAACAGTTATAGGTAATAATATTTCACAGTATTACTTTTCCACTGTATTTTTGATATTATAAATTTAGCCTTGGTGAACATAAGAGACTTTTAAAAACAATTGAAAAATACTTACAGGCTCCAAACATTTGAATGATAGTGTACTTATATTTTTAGGAAATTCACCATCAAAATATTTTTAAATATTACATAAGCATGCATGAATGTCTCTTTTTATATATAATAGAGACTTTAAATTTAATGACTTATGAAATAAAAGGGACTTTTATTTGATTTGATTTAATTTTTTTTTTTTTTTTGAGTTGACACTCAAGCAGAAGACATAGATGTGCATCAATTTGCAAAGCGGATCATGCTGTTAATCGTACTGCTGATATGCTATGGTATAAACGGTACAGCAGAATGTCTTTATAGCTTGTGAAAAAAGTTTGGGCTTATAAAAATAAATTTTAGAGGGTGTATATTTTTCTTTGATTCTTTCATATTTTGGCTTGTTTTGTCTGAATGTTGTTGTTTTTTTGGGGGGATTTCTCTTGCAGCAAAATCGAGACCTGGACATGTTTATTAATGCCTCAAAAAACTTTAACCTCAACATCACATGGGCAACCAGCTTTGCAGGTATGGAGCCCAGTCATCATGTGCTAAACATATATTTTAAGCACATCATAAATGTGCTGTGTGTGCAGTTGAATCTCTCTTCCTTCCTGTAACCCTGCATTTCTTCCTTTCTGAGCAGCTGGGACTCAAGCTGGTGAGGAAATCCCTATAGTCTCCCGCAGCAACATAAAGGAATTCAAAGACAGTTTCTCCAACGAGAAGTTCGATTTCCGTAGCAATGCCAACATTACCTTCTACGTGTATGTCAGCAACTTCACCTGGCCAGTCAAAATCCAGGTGAGAGGAGTCCACTGACATACACAGAAAAATATCACTGCTGTGTGTGTGTGAGCACCATTTAAACATCAGCGAGGGTCTTTGTGTTTTGTTTTGCTATCTTATCCTCTCCTTCCATCTGTAAATTCACACAGGCCGTGTCCTTTTATTATTTCTCATATATCTTTGGCCTTTTCTGTCTGGTCTGGAAATGATTTGGCAGAGCTCCCCCCCCCTCTTCTCTACTCCTTTCCTCCTCTTTTCCTTTTCCCCTCCTCTCTTCCTTTGCTTTGGAAAGTGATCTAACTTACCCTCCTGTGCTAGGACTCTGAAACTCAGAGTTTGGGTTTGATTTTCCGTCCACTATTCTAGAGCACGTTCTCTCCTCAGCTCATGGAGAAAGGGTGAATTTCTCACAGGTAACGCCTTATTGTCTCTCTCGTTCGCCTTTCGCTTCTCTAACTGACCTTTGGATGCCACATTTCATCTAACAGAGGTTGTATGTGCAGATTTGAGCGCGAATGTGGGCGAGAGGGGTTGCGCTGTGGTAACTCTGGAGGACAGAGGGGCTGTTGTCAGGCATTTAGAGGAGAACGACGAGAGGGTTTGGGCTGGAGAAAAACGCAGCACTTGAAACCTGCTCTGTAAATATGGCAGGCTGAGACTGAGAGTGTCAGAAGGAATGTTAAGTTGAAACACATGGCTCTTTGAGAGCGAGAGACTGAGAGGAATAAGAGAGATCAGAAAGTTCAGAAGAGGCACAGTTCCAGCCTTCTGTTTCTGCCTCTTGTTTTCTTTTTGCCTTTGGTCAAAGATTCTGTGCAGCCAGTGTAGTTTTTGGCCAATGGAATGGAAGAGTGTATGCATGTGAATCTAAACAAGAGTATAGTAGGAGCGTTCATGTGACGAGTTTCTGTATGCATGTTATTTAAAAGCAGAATTTGATTGAATCCCTCAAAAACATTTACAGGTCACATTTCAACCCCAAATCAATTTTTTTTCATTTTGCATAAAGACTTCTTTCTTATGAATCGCATAATAATGAAGACATTTTCCTTTGTGTTTGCATTTTTACATTTTTAATTGGTGTAAATTAAAATTCATGTAAACAACAACAAACGCTACCACTGTGTCTAAATACAGTTGAAATCATATAATTATTTATTCACATAATTTTTTTGGCTTCATTGTCATTGGGGTGAAAGATGATTAAAGCTACCTTTCCAACATTCATGCGATTGTCAAATTTTGCACCCTGGAAGTAGCCTGTTACCCTCTGCTTTTTCACCATAGTAAAATGAATGAGTAATGAATGTATGAATATCCACACAAACAAGCAAATAACCGCCTTTAGAGCTGAAATAATGATAAAAAAAACATAAATAATTATAATACCGTTATTATGGACAATTCATAACTGTCCATTTTACAAAAGTAGTATTTATAAATAATGTTTTAGTGCTAATATGTTGGTAATTTGACCTCCCAGTCAAAGTTTTGATTAGAGTTCATCACGCCCGGTCGGTGTTTGCATACAGTCTAGCTGCAGAAGTTTACATATTTCTGCACACTCAAAGCTCAGATCAGATCTGAAAATTCTGTATACACTAATAAACTCTACACAGCTCTGTCATTTGTCGGAGAGAGTGGAAAGGCAGGTTTACATTGTCATTGGGGTGAAAGATGATTAAAGCTACCTTTCCAACATTCATGCGATTGTCAAATTTTGCACCCTGGAAGTAGCCTGTTACCCTCTGCTTTTTCACCATAGTAAAATGAATGAGTAATGAATGTATGAATATCCACACAAACAAGCAAATAACCGCCTTTAGAGCTGAAATAATGATAAAAAAAACATAAATAATTATAATACCGTTATTATGGACAATTCATAACTGTCCATTTTACAAAAGTAGTATTTATAAATAATGTTTTAGTGCTAATATGTTGGTAATTTGACCTCCCAGTCAAAGTTTTGATTAGAGTTCATCACGCCCGGTCGGTGTTTGCATACAGTCTAGCTGCAGAAGTTTACATATTTCTGCACACTCAAAGCTCAGATCAGATCTGAAAATTCTGTATACACTAATAAACTCTAACAGCTCTGTCATTTGTCGGAGAGTGGAAAGGCAGGTTTAGACACATTTTTGACAGGTTTTTGTGAGATTCAGCTGCTTAAAAAATGACACGCTTTAAAATACACTGGACTCATTCTTTTTAGCCCAGTTTAATTTTCAGAGACAAGTCTTATATTCATAGGTCGACTTCATGAGGAGTGTAAACACCAGAGCTGTGTCACGCTGTCAAAACATTGCTCTGTTTGTTTGAGCAGTGCGACATGTCAACTTCTGCCTCAGCCAATGGCACGAGTTTGGGGTGGGACTGGCTGTTTGTGCAAACAATGGCAGATGGGGGCAGAATGTAAAAAGTGTTTGAGACCTCAAACTTCAGAATCCAAATTTGGATTTTTGCGTTTCATAGTGGTTCAGAAATGACACACTCCTCCGTTCATCTTGTAAGAGTTATTAGCAAAGTTATTAGCAAATGTCTGATTCTACAGGCCTATGTTCTGTCAGTGATGATTGCTGTACATTCGTTTTTTAGGTTTAATCCTCCTCCACGGATCACACAAAATAAAACAGACTTCATTTACACTAGTTAGCTAACCTTGGCAGGTGGACCAGAATGTTCTCTCTTGTTTAGATTGGGTGAGCCACATCATTATCTCTTAAAACATGACTAACAAGCTATGTATAGTGTTTACGTCACACACACCACATGAATGCCGTGTGAGACAGGTTGTCGTGTGAATGACAGTGATAAGTGGGATTGCTATTGTTTCATGTTGAATGTGTGTGGGTATCAGTGCTGTGAGTCAGGCCCCGTTTGTCTTTGAGACTGTGCGTCTGAATATGAGGAGGTTGTGGCGTGTGAGAGAGGTCGTATCAGCGCACAGCATCTGCTCAATGAGAGCTCTGTGAATTCACCCTCCATGCTGTGGACGTCTGGCATGCTCTCTTTTACCCTGTTCTCTCCTTCTCCCTTGCTGAAAATCCTGTGCTTATTTTGGAAATGGCCTGGAGGAATAGAGAGGGAAGAGTGAGCTTGTTTGAAAGCAGGTAAAAGATGGCGAGAAAATGACTGTTTTAAAGTGGAAACTTCTCTGGTGTGTCCCCTAGACTCTGCCCTCCTTACGGTAGACGGCTTTAAGACTGCATCCATAAACAGAGAGCCAGGAATGATATAAAGCCATTGCACTGCTCATTTCAGTGGTATGAAATGAAAGGGTCATTTTAAACAATCTTTTAACACAATTGTGGGCTTGTTTCACGTTTCACACATTGGGTTAGTAATTAATTCTGACTTATCAGGTTTTCTTATTTCATGCTGTACGTTTGCGAATCCTGGGTTAACATTCTCATTTGCATATTTACAAGGTTAATAACACAGATTGGACAAGTACAGCTCGTAGTGAGCGTTTGACCAGTTTTAATAACAGCTTGACCATCTGGGTAAACGTCGACATGTAAATCTTCTCTGGTTGCCTTATATATTCTGAAAAATACTAGGAAGAAAAAACGGAATGAAAATGCAGAGGAGCATTTGCCATCACTTTTCAATTCTTTTTTTCCTCCATTAGACACTAAACACAGTGTGTGAAAGTTGTACAAGTGTTGTATTAATATCTAATGAAGTAAGCAGTGATATTGCCTGTTGTTAAATAACTCCACATCCGCAGTGTTTTACACTCTATACTGGGGTTTTCAAACTGAAAGGGGGCCGTAAGGGAGTGCTAGGGAGTCCATAGAACAAGTATAGAGAAAAACAGAAGAAAAAAAATAAATAGAAAATAGTATACTAAATAACCAATTAATTGGATTACTTTACAAATAATATTTTAAATAAAACAAATATTTTGTAAAATATATTTAAATAATTGTAAAAAAATATGTATTTAAATTTTATGATGTTTAAAGAATTTTAATTTTATTATTTATTTAACAGTAACCCCATGAATTACTTTGAACTTCTGAAGCCATAGATAAACATAATAATAGATAATAATAATTAAATAAAAATTCCAAATTCCCCTGCTCTATACCTTTGGTACTGCAGTAGGACTTTAGCATAAAATATCAATCCTGTTGTGGAACAGGCATGAGTAACCCAGAATTAAAAGTGCTGCTCTTTTCAAAATTATAGGTTTGAAACATTGCTTAAAAGTGCTTTACCTGGTCTTAATAAATACACTAGCTCAGGGTTAATACTAGTGTGGAAAGCCATTGCTCTTTGTCAACCCTTACTCTCTCGCTGTTATTGGAGGTCCGTCATAATAACATAGTCGTGCCAAAATAATATGATTACATATTTGAATTAGAATGGAGAGTCTGAAACTGTAGAGATGCTCTTTTCTCTTGATCATGTGTGGGGAGAGAGAGACGTATAGCAGCAGGGGGCAGTATTGGTACAGTCAGAAACGAAACATTTGCTCATGTCCTATTTAGACAACAAAAAACGCATGTACACAGAAGCATGTAAATGAATGTTTTTCTCCCTATTTAACACCCATTTCTCTTCTCCTCAGATCGCTTTCTCTCAACACAGTAACTTCATGGATTTGGTTCAGTTCTTTGTCACGTTCTTCAGGTAAGGCACTTTGCTTGTGTTATAAGCAAGCATATGAATTACTCAAGTCTTTGATGATCTTTGAACTTCTAACGCCACAGATATTCTCACATACCCATTTGAATCTAAATTTTGTACATTTTTGAATGGAACACATTGGGCTCTAGTGTGTTCGGGGTGTGATTATGGCTCTAAGCTCTAATTCACCTCTGGAGGACTTGCTGTAATATGTTATTGATTCAGGAAGCAGGTGGCGTAGACCATATATAGCAAATTCACCCCATGTTTCTGTCACATACACACATTCTCACACATTCTGCCATGCCGCTTGTTACACTTCTTACTGGTTCCCTAACAGCAAAAGTGTGATTAAAATATGATAATCTTTCAGATGTGGTCATGCATCATGTATGAAGACGCATATGATTCATACACTGCATGTACACACATGTAACATACCAACTGTGGCTGTGGTCGGCCATGGTTCCTCATCATTAGTTATGTCAGCTCAGCCATGATAAATTGCACCAACTCTTCATGGCCTTGGTGTGTGTGCGCGTGTGTGGGTGAGCTATTCCCAAAACCCAAAGCGAATGTATTTCAGCTCTGCACACACCTGCACTTATAAGGTATAAACATGCACCTACACATTTATGATTTCCTCCATTACAGCCCAGTTCTCTTATACATGAGAGGCGCATTCATGAGCTTTGGCCCCGTTACCATGAGGATACCAACACTCCTGATCTTTAGCACACCTGTGAAACTACCTCTAATTAATTAAACATGAACTGCCCCGTGTGTGCTTGAGATGTGATCTTGGCATGGCTCGTTGGAACATGGTCATTTCAGTGTTTTCCATAAAAGAACATCCAAAAACGTTACTGATTGTCCTCTTCCATTTCCCGTTTTGTCTTGTGTGTGTGTAGCTGTTTCCTGTCCTTGCTTCTGGTGGCAGCAGTCGTATGGAAGATAAAACAGAGCTGCTGGGCGTCACGGCGCAGAGAGGTCAGTGCTGTAGCATTTCCCTTGTTACCTGTGGAATTTCATTGACCTTCCCTGCCTCTTGCTGCTCTACACCGCTTTGAACCATCCCATTAATGTCACATCAGCATCTCTGAATGCTGTCAGTCTGGTTGGACAGATCCATCCGTTAGGCTGTTTTTGGACAATTCCACTAGAAGCTGGTCTCTATGTCTTTTGTTTTTTATCATTATTTGTTTTTTAATGGCGGTTACTGATATCTTGTGAGCATTTTGTTGGTTTTATGCAATTTAGATACATTTCAGCTACACAAATTATTTAAGTGGATTTATAAGTTAGTATTAAGAAATATTCTCATGGTGTGAAGCAATTGGTTTTCTTAAATGGTTGGAGTGACCTTAGCTTTTTGGTTTTACAGTGTATACTTAATCATGAAATAACAATTGTTATTTTTATATGTAAATAACCTTTAGAAACTGTGTTTGAAATAAATAAGGAGCAGTAAATTACTACTGATACAAAAAACATGAGAAATTTATTTTGTAATTTTATTTTGTTATGCACACGGATGTCCTTTGCTTAGATGCATGTTGAAAAGCCACTAAAAGTAATTTATCCAAATATCATCAAATATATCTAAGCATTGAATTTTTTAGGTAGAATGTGAGCTTATTGATGCATTTCAGTGAATCTGCTTTTCTATTTCAGCCGTTCCTTCTGGTCAGTGGCTTTCCATATACTTAGTTAGTATTTCGTTTGGACATAGTTACTTTTCTACTAAGTTTAATGGTGCAGCACATAAATATTTGATAGTGTGTAAGGTAGTGCTCCTTTACGTCTCAACTACTGTTGGAAACTACAGTACTGCATCCAGCTCCTGTTGATTAGCAATCCATAACCTCAAAATGGGCAGATATATATTGGCCAATTATTTGGTCTTTCTGGTAACATTTTTTTTATAAATCGTTCGGAAAACATGCTAGTCTAGTGGGTTTGAAATAGTCTAATATAAACCAATGTTCAATTAGTAAAACTTAATGTGCTGTTAATCTACTTTTAAAACAATTTGTTGGTTGTCACCAGTTAATTCATTGATTTTATTACATTGTGGTCAGATTTGTTAAAAAGAAGAAAATGTGCTGGAATAAGATCCTTGATTTTACAGCCCCCACAGAGACTGAAGAGGTTTGGTTTTGAAAGGTTTCAATAGGCCAATTTAAACCATGCAGAGGTGTTTATAAGGGCTAATGTGAGTGTCCTTTAAAGGACCCTCTTCACCATCTGGCTTAGTGAAGTACTCTCATCCAATAAAAAGTGCTAATACTTTTTCCTCTCTTTCACACAACAATCAAACACGCGTTCATATGCGTACATGCACATCACTTCCTATCCCAGTCTTGAACGTTAAAGTTTTGCACTCTTCTGATCCTTTAACTTAAAGCATGACTTTTACTTATGATCTCCATGGTAACCAGACATAGAGGGCTAATTTAGGGTAAGCATGACCCAGCAAACAGACCACTTAATCCTACGCTTGCACCTGATGATATATTTTTATGATTCTGATCCAATTCTTCAAGTAGTGTTCTTAACAAGTGCCTTATTAGCCTGGGGTGGCATAATGGTTATGGAGCTTGAATATGCATATGTTTATTTTATTTTCAGAATGTATAATTTATATTTTATTCATTTATTTCATGTATTATTATTGTGATTTTATTTATTTATTTTTGCATAGTCTGAAATAGGCCACTTTCATAATATGTAACCTACAGTGAATATGAGATATATTGCAGAATATACACAGGTCTGCAGTAGTTTTCTGATAGAATTTTTTTTTCTTCATATGGGACTGGTTCGATGTCAAGTTGATGGTTACACTTTAAGTCATTCCTTTGGTGATGCAGAAATGTAACCAATATACAAATGCACAATGGTTATTGGCTGTTATTAGAGTTGTTGTTGTTTTTTAAATAGTTGATAATGGATATAAAAAAACAAATAAATTATTTTAATTGTGAATGCTTATTTTCCCTATTTTCACATTTAAAGTACATTTGCTGTCATCTACACTTATTAAATGTTGATCTTTAAAACCCAATAATTGAATAACAGAAATGATACATTTTGAATAGGTAACACATATTTACTGTTAATTAAGAGTTTTCCCTGAACAAACTCCTAATGTGCTGCTTATTAATAAGGTAGCTGTTAAGTTTAGGTATGGGGTCGGATTAAGGAATCAAAAATATGGCCATGCAGAATAAGGCATTAATAATATATGTGCTTTATAAGTACTAATAAACAGCCAGTATGCTAGTAATATGCATGCTAATAAGCAACTAGTTAATAGTGAGAATTGGTCGTTAAAATAAAGTGTTACCAAATATTTATTTAGGCAATTAAAGAATATAGAATTTCGAGATCTACCATTTCTATTAGCAATAATTCTAATATTGTTGCTTACCTATTTTTAATTTACATTTTATTGTTAGTTTATACTTCCTTCATGTACTTTGTAATCAGTATTTCTATACTTTACATTGTATTAAATTGTATTAAATATGATTGTGAATGATAAAGCTGCATATATGTGTGTGCCCTGTCTTTGAACACCACTGTCCCATTTGAAAAACCATCGGAGGGTCGCTCGGATGTTGAAACTATAATTGCAAATCATAAGTGACCTTTTCTCAAAGCGCTCTGTGTGTGTGCGTGCAAGTAATTACACAGAATTCCTCCGGAGGTGCTCTGAAAGAGTTTCCAGGTAAATCTTTCGGTGATAAATATCACAAGCCTCGCAGGCAGAGAACGTACTGTGACCCAAAAATCAAAGTTGCGGGTTATCGTTTTTTTAGGGACTATCCTCTGTAATTGTTAGATATGCAAATGAGGGCCACTCAGCTGAGATGAGCTGATGCTAACAGACTGCTGATTATTTTCTTTAATCTTGCGAATGTGCGTCATTCAAAGAATATTACAAAAGCATCCTTTTGAAATTTCTATTCAGTCCCATTTTAAAATAAGACTGCATGCTCCTGTGTGTTTAGTACAGACTCCTGGATATGTTACACATTTACTATTGCATTGGAGAATATTTTTGATTTATGTGTTTGTGCGCATGGAGTGTGTTAAAAATCTGCCTTTGTTATTGGTTAATGTTCATTTATGACCCAATTAAATTCACTTTAGTCTCTTTCTAACACCGAACACACTATTTTTCTCACACACAAAGGTAACAAGATTTAAGATTTGTGATAAGCATGAGTTTCTCTTCTTCAGTCATCTTCACACACACTACCTCTCGCACCTTTATTGATGAGGCTGTGAATTAAACTGACAGAGAGTGGCTTGTGAATTAGTCGTAGTGGGAATAGCTGTCGATATTCTCTGTCCATGTGCGTGCGCTATAATGAGGTGGCCTGGTAGCTGGTGTCTCGTGTTTGTGTGTCCGTTTTACACTGAGAACAAATTCTTGTTACCAACTCTGTCCCAAGGTTTTTTTTAATAGCTGTATGTAGTTTTGTTAGTCGTTTTTGTTGTTAAAAGAGTTATATCATGACAAATCAATTCTTTGATCTTATTATTTAAGATGACTTTACAGCCGTCTTATTATGAAAACCCAGTGTATCAACTCTTTCCTCGCTACCAAATTGACTCCTTGAATTAGAAACCAGAAACATTTACATTTGACGGCATGTGTACATGTCAACAAGGCATAGGAAATAGGTTAGATATTATTATTCCTAAACACCAGAAGAACAGATGCAAAGAGTAAAAGCTTGTGCTGTATCTGTCTGTGTGTAGCACTTCCTGCGCTGCATATCCTGCATAAGAGTACCAGAGAAACAAGCAGCTGATATTTATTTTTAGCAAAGTCCTTTATCATTTCAGTGTGATCTTAACATTTCCGTGCAAATTGTTTTGTGAACCTGTCACAATGAACTGCAGACTTTTCAAACAGTCTGTTATTGAAGGATGCTGCAATTAAAAAGTATATTGTAGTCAAAATAAAAAGTGAGAGCAGCAAAGTTTCTCATGTCTTGTGGGAAGAGAGTGTTCACATAGTCCTAGAAGATATTAAAGCTGCAGTCCGTAAGTTTCGCCTCTTTGTTGCCATCTCTGTTTGAAACCTGCAATTGCAGTTATTTGCGGAATTATCTTGTTTACGTGGGATGTGCATTGGCTCCTCAGCGCGGATGAATCTAATGTTTTGAGGTGCATGTGTGGGCTGTCAGTCAATGCACCAGTGTGGATGTTCACTGTACTTCGGAATTACAGATGCTACGTCTTGGAAGCATGTCCAAAATAAGACTTTTCACCAGAAAATGTCATCTGAACGAGTACGTAACATGTCTGCCAGTTTATAAGGGTTAATGTGAGCCTTAACATATATATTGCGTGACTACGTGTATTAGTGTTATCTGTGGATTTCAATTTCTGTACAGTCTAATCTCTAGTTGTCATACCATTCAAATGTCATCGAAATAAATTGTTCTTTTAACCTCAAAAAGCAATTTAATGCTCCTTAGAACTCATTCTAAAATGACAAGTTTAATCATTCCAGCTGCTGTAAGAAAAGGCTACAAATGATCCGCCACCTGCAGCATCTACACACGTGTTATAGCCTACTAGCTGGGACTCCTTGTGTGGGACTGTTGTGAATCGGGCTAAGATATGGAGATAGTCTTGAACACTGATTGATTATGTACTTGCTCAATAATTGATTTTGAGTCATTTTTAACCAAAAAAAGTTACGGAATGCAGCTTTAAATACAGAACAGCAAACAATGGCCTGTTTTAATTCTAAGGATCAGTGAGAGAGAGAGAGAGAGTGGAAAACAGAAAACTAAAATGTGGTATGTACTAAATTTTAGTGCAAAAAACTTTACCACCATATAAGTGGACTGAGGGAAAAATTACATACATACACACTACATTTTCAGGTAGTTTGTCTTGATTAACTCGAACTGTTTCACATAAGAGAGATCTGGGAGAAGAGAGAGATGTGACCCTGGACCACA